TGCAAAAGAAATTAGGTTAAATGATACTATAAATGAATAACTATACAAATAAGCAATGGAAAGCCTTTTTTAAAATGTACACCAAAAACAAAAACAAAAACAAAAAATCAAAGGAATGATTAATACATCAGAGGAATGATTAAGAGGTTACTAATTTTGTATATGTCAAAAAGCTATACTTAAAATTTATGAGTCAAATGACTAGTCAAAAATATTTATAGATACACTACAAAAGATTACAGTCTTTAATCTAAAAAAGGTTTTTATTACCTCTCTTGAACAGTCATCCAAAACTGAAAGGGGAATGAGAAACAGAAACGTAAGTGCCATTCTAAATAAAACTGGGAGGCAGTGAAACCCCAAACCACAGAGCCCAAAGAATTGCAAGTGCGAGGAGGAAGGTTAGACCAAGAGCTGTGGAGGAGCAGTTCTGAATCTCAGAACCCAAGAGCAGCCGTGAAGCCTCCAGGAGCAAGGAGGACAGGGGGTGGTGGGGCTGCTCAGAGGGAGCTTATTTAAAAACTTGTCCAGGCTCCTGTATTCCTCCAGCTCGCCCCACACACACACACACACAGGGCCATGATTCCTGCTCCAGTTCCACTGGAAAAGCAGATTTGTTGTCTTCAGAAACCACACCAGAGAGGTTCTAGACCCAGGGATATAAAAAACTAAGGAGTCAGATTCAGACATCATACTGAAAATAAGGCTTCAAAGAAGGTTTGCACTCACACATCCGCTTCCTAGGACATGCCGTGGGCTTATGATCTCTGTGCAAGAGACTGAAGGTTCTTACCTGGAGAAAGCGAATGAGCCTGTAAAAAGAAAACCAGCAGGCTGCCTGATAGCCCTGGTGAAACACTCCAGGTCAGCAACCTCTTGCCCTGGTCCAAATCAATGTAATAAGGCCTCTAGCTTCAAAAGGGCAGGATAGACAAGAGCCAAATCATCAAAAGTGTATTTGGAAAAAAAATTCTTTAGTAGGTTGAACATAATCCCCAGGATCTGTAAATATTGTCTTGTATGGTAAGAGAGTCAACATTTCTTTATAAATACAACTTGATCAAGGTAAGGCATGTAAGAGGAAAACCTTACACGGAATTATCTGGGTGGGCCCCAAATACACCCACATGTACCCTTATAAAACATACACACTGAAGGGAAGATACATGGACAGGGAAGAGACAGCTTGATCCCAGTCATAGAGACTGAGGTTGCCTGGCCCTAGCTGAAGGAACACCGATATCTGCCAGAAACCGGAAGGGGCGAAGAGAGGACTCTTGCTTAGAGGGCCCAGGAGGTGTGCATCCCTACCGACTCCTTCCTTCTGAACTTCTGGCCTGCAGAACGTCAGGAGGACAATTTCGTTTGTTTTGGTGGTAACTCACTATAGCATCCCTAGAAAGCAGATGCAGTCTAAGACGAAGCTGGCAGAGTAAAGGAGCCCCAGGAGGGGACAGACAGACACTGCACTATACTCAAATGGCCTCAAAGCTGTAAGCAACGAGACTAGGAATCCATGAACTGAATAACAAGGACTCTTGGAACCTGAGGGCATGGTGCCAAAGATGAACGCTCCACACAAGAGTTCAAGGATTTAGCTCAAGAAATCGCCCAGAAAGAAGAATAAAAAGGCTAAAGATGATCAGTAGGACTGAGAAGGTAAGAAAAAATAAAAATAAATCCAGAAGGTCCAACATGTCACTCCAGGTGAGAGACAGGAAGGACGTGTAGCAAAGAGACAATACTCACACAAGAAAACTTCCCACGAATGGAAGACATGCATTTTTATTTATTTATTTTTGTGTGTGTATGTGTGTGTGTGTGTGTGTCCAGCTCAGCCCACCAGGGGGCGGGGCTGGCTGGCATATGGTGCTGGGGGATTGAACCGTGGTCCCTGTGCTTTGCTAAGCTTGTTCTAAGTAGGTGCTTTAGACCACTGAGCCATCTCACCAGCCCCGATGCATTTTTGAATTAGAAGAAACTCCTGGATTCAATGAATGAGACGAATATAACTGGAACTACAGCAGAAAGGCACCCCCTGGCATGAGCATACAGTATGGGCGAGAGGAACAGATGAAAAACCATGAATCAAGAGCTCTGTTTTATAAAATACGCCACCAGGAACAATGACTTCAAAATGCCAAAAGAAAATTATCTCCAGCCTTGAGACTCCACGCTATAGTTGGCTTTTTAAGCTTCTATTCTTTTTGGTTGTTCTGCTGTGCTGAATTAACATGAAGTTGGTGGCCTAACATCAGAACTTGATTTGCTGACAGTTCTGAAAACCAGAGGTCCATAATCAGGACGCTGGCAGGGATGGCTCTCCCTGGAGGCTCCAACAGAGAACCCGCTCCACGCCTCCCTCCTGCCCTGTGGTGGCTGCCGCACCTGCTCACGTCCTCCCCCCTGCATCTTCACGCAGCATCTTTTCTCCGTATCCTTGTGTTAGCTCTTCTCTCCTTTCTCTTAGAAGGACTCAAGTTATTAGTTAGGACCTAAATCCACTGTAGTCTCATTTCTGCATACTTAACTTAGCTACATCTGCAAAGAGCCTATTTCCACATAAGACTGCACTTGTAGGTACCAGGGCTTGGGACATACCTGCTAGAGAACACACTCCCATCTACTACCGAGCTGGCTATATGAGCTACTTTGAAAATGTACAATTTCTTCAGTTTTTCATCTGTTTCTAAAATGAGGTCCAGAAAGAGATTTCCACACGCTTCCACCAGCAATAGACCAAGTGCCGGCTTTCCTACACATCTGCAAAACTGGAACATTACATTGTGTGCGCTCTTGGTCAAAAGAACACACGAATATCATTTTATTGTCACTTGTTAGGTGTGAGTGAATTTGGTGTTTAAAAATACAGTTGATGGGGCCAGGAAGATAGCTCAGTAGAATAAGCACTCGCCTGGCAAGCGCGAGGCCTGAGTTCAATCCCTGGTACTAAAAAAAAAAAAAGGTACAGTTGCTGACCATTCAATCCTTCTCTTTAATGAATTGCCTGTCTACATCCTTAGTTCATTTCTTCTAAGATATTCATCTCATCTACATGAAGTAAAGTAAAAGGATGTATCTGACAGTGTTTTTTGAGTAGTCAAGTAGTTGAAAACAACCTAAATTTTCAGCCATAAGGATTGACTTGCCAAATTAGTATATTCTTGAATTTCATTCAGCTAATTTAAGTTAATATTGTAACAACTTCAGGTACTAGGCCATACAATGACCCTTGTTTTTCCCAAAAGGAGCTGAGCAAAAAGAAATCATGACATGTGCCTCCCAGCTGCCGGGTGGTGGGTCTGGGACTTAAGCCCTGGCACTCTGGCTTTAGAAGCATACTGCTAAGCCACCCTGCTAGCTGTCTTTCTCTGCATCACTGCATCTTCCTTTATATATTTTCCAAGGAAGCCTCCACATTGCCTCTGAGCAAGAGGGGGTGGTTGGTAATCTTTACATTCTTTTTTTTTTTTTAAGTTTATTTATTTATTTATGCGTGTGTGTGTGTGGCCAGCTCAGCCCACCAGGGGGCGGGCTGGCTGGCATGTGGTGCTGGGGATTGAACCGCGGTCCCTGTGCTTTGCTAAGCTTGTTCTAAGTAGGTGCTTTAGACCACTGAGCCACCTCTCCAGTCCCTACATTCTTTTTGTTTGTGTGTGTTTCTAATTTTTCTGTAATGAGTTCATAATGCTAGTGTTATTAAAAATACTAAAAGCACGTTTTCAAAAACAACACAGACCTCCATAAGCTATTTTGTAAGGCCTGTTTTCAGCTACCAAGTAAAAGGCTGATTTTATCACTCAAGACACATGGTAAGGACTCAATGAAAATCCGCCTTCCGCAGGCAGCTCCTCGTGTCAGATGCTATAATTAAAGCAATGCATGCTGGAGAGATTACTGCTGCAGGAGATTAGCAGGAAGAATCTGGGGCCGCCGGGACGAGGCAGTGATGGAGAAAGGAGCGATTCTGCTCTAGGCTGTTTTCGGGGAAGCAACAGAGAGAGGGAAAAGTTTTTTAGGAATTTTTGGCTCCAGAAGGTCTTTTAGGAAAATCTCAGGACAAAACGGAAAAAGCTAAAGTAGGTCAGGCCACCGTGACACAGGAGGGCTTTTCCTGACACACAGACCTCCCCACCTCAGCAGTCAGGCTGAAGTTCAAGTGAGCCACCCTGCCTGGGGTAACTGGCCTCGGTCCCTGCAAGTGACCTGTCCCTGTCCCTGGACTCTTTCTCCTAAGTCTCAATGTCCAGGTCATGAGACAGTCACTGCCTGAGCCCAAGGGAGCCAAGTTTCACAGCACAACCTCAGACCTGGGCAAATGCGCTCAGGGCGGGGATCTGTATAATTGTGGGTACAACCGACAGCACATCTATGGGTCTAATTATTTTTGTGGAGCCATTGTAATCTTTATACGCAGCCTGAAGCAAATGTTATTGAATAGAAACAAGAAATGTTAGGTGAAAACAGAATTTCTGCAGGTCTGCTGCTTCATCTTCTCTGTCCCCACAGAGCACAGTCACAGTTTCCTAGAATTTAGATACTGCTGCCTGGAGAACTGAGTGGCGTGCGCGTGGACCCGGGGCTCAGAAAGCCTCGAGTTCACATCCCAGCCTGGTTATTTATTCTCCATGTGGCTTTGCTTTCTCCCCCCATAATCACCTCCCAGCTGTGCTGAGAACCAGGAGTTTTGCTTCGGAGTGTTTGCTGCAGCTGCAGGCTGCATTAGGCTGCTGCAGGTTGTGGTCGCTGCACCTAGAGTTGGGGGCAGATTTGGGCAGCAACCTCCCTGGCTCCACCTGGGTCAGAGCTCCTTCTCACCACCTCTTCGGACATCTTCAGCGAGCACCTTCAGAGTCACACATAAGCGCAGGCCCAGAGAAGGCAGAGAAGGACGCGCAGGCCTCCAGGGCTCAGGCCTGCGAGCCCGCCCAGGCAAGTCTCTGGGGGACACTTGCTAGCACTGCCTGGGAGGAGAGAACCAGGCCCGCCTGTTCACACACCTGAAAGAGGTTGGCAGCTTCCAGGACCCGCTGCACGTTCTGCTTGGTGATCAGCGCCTTGCTGGTGTACGTGTAGTCCAGGAGCGTGTGCATGGTCTCCGCGTCCACCCCTCTAATAACGATCCGCTTCTCATACTTTTCCTTTAAGTCGTTGCAGAACATGGCCCTGGAGGAGAGAGGTGTGAGTGTGAGTCCTGCGGGGATCCTTAGTTCCAGACTAGAGGTGACCCCTTTCTAGACTTATCTTCCCTCCTGGAAACCTAGGGACCCCACAGTTAGGTCCCGGGCTGATTGCTTTACTCCCTTAGCACACACTGCACATCATTCAGCCAGTGTTTACTGAACTAAACAGTTCTGCTTTGCACATGCCAACTGTGGGGCCCAGGCCAGGTCCAGATCTATCTTAGCTTGAGGATTCCGCTGGGAGCACTGTAGGATTCCTAATCCTCGTCTGAGCTTTTTTAGTGTCTAGCACCAAACAGGGTTTTTGACTGTGGTTCTTGTACAGCTCCTGGTCCCACAGCCCAACCTGGTCACTGAGGACACAGATTCCCTCTAGCAGTGCAAGTGGCTCCTAAAGCCACTACCTCCTGTACCTTAGACTGGATTCCCAGGTACAGCGAGAAGCCCTGAATACCCTATCCTAGGACAGAGCCCCCAAGGCTCTGTCTTTATTCTGCCTCTTCTCTGATTTATGCCTTTCTTTCTTCTTCCCCAGAACTGGGCTTTGGATATTTAGTCCCTGTCATGGAAGCAGGGGAACTTTTTGGAGAGGATGCTGGTTTTGCATCAAAGGGACTAGAATCTGCATACCAGCCCCTCCAACCCCGAGATGGGACATGTTTAATCTCCATGAGCTTCGGTTTTCTCATGAGTTAAGATGTGAATACTCTTTTTAAAGTTCATAGTGAAGATTAGCTGAGTAACTAATAGGTAAGCAGACACATCGAGATTCTTTTCACCTTGTGCCAGCCATTGATATGAATTCATCCTGTTTCTTTGATGTTGAGATTTGAATTATAAGTTCTTGTCAGAATATATGAGCCATTTTATTTACTTTAAAAAGGCATTTAAGCTTTTCAGTGCTTCTGGAAAGATTTCTGGAATTCTAGAGACTTAAAAGGTACCCCAAAATATGGCACAATTCTGCACATTAAAAGTAAGGGGAGAAGATAGAAAAGCATGAATGAGAACATAGAGATAATTTCTGAATGAGGCTAGAAATGCCCCTTCACAGTGACATTCACAAACATTGATATACAAATTCAAATGCTCAAAAGAATGATTATTATTCTTAGCATTAAAAAAGGTGGAATTTCTCTTGGGATGAATACCAGCCCTATAACATTCTTTCCCCGTGAGGCTGCTCTTTAACAGCTGTAGCTGAGACCTTTCCTTCAGTCCCATTCCTACAAAAACCTGCTCACTCTCTCTTCCCTCCCAGTGGGTAAGACGCTAGAAATCCCACAGGAATGCACAGCTAATAAAAACAACTCTTTGGCAGCTCAAACATCCAATTTCTTTCATTCCCCCTGCATTTACGGAGCACCGCTCTGTAGGATACGGGGGAAGGGTTAGAAATATGAGGCGGTGCTCTGGGCTGCCTGCCTCACCATCCCACCATCGAAGTCATACACTGAAATTCTAAGGCTGTCTTTGTAGCTGGGCCTTTAGGACATAATTGAGATTAGCACAGATCATGAGGCGAAGGTCCTAATCTGACCACACAGATATCCTTACGAGAAGAGAAAAATAGACCAGAATCGTCTCCCTTTCTGCCTTGTGAGCACATAGCAAAATGGTAGCCACAGGCAACCCGGAAGGGAGCCCTCCCCAGGACCCAACTGTGCCCGCACTCTGGCCGCCTACTTCCGGCCTCTAGAACTGTGAGGTAGCTCGTTTCTGTTATTCAATCTACCCAGCTTACAGTCTTTTCTCATAGTCACCCAAGCTGACTACAACAGAGATTGGTCTGAGACTCAAAGTCTCTGAGTCCCATGTGACTGAATTTGCTATTTTAGCAGCAAAAAACTAGAAATATAACAGCTGATTTGGGACTGGGTAATGGGTTGCTGCTGGACAAGTTTTGAGATTAATGCCAGAGAAAAGGCTACACAGCCAGGGACAGAATATTGGTAGGGATGTGGCGCTGAAGGTCATTTTGGGAAGGTCTCAGATGGAAATGAGAATGTGTTGTTAGAAGCTGGAAAAACGGTGATCCTTGTTTCAAAGTGTCAAAAAGCTCAACTGAACTGCGTCCCAGTGCTCTGAGGAAGGTAGAGCTTTGAGAGATGAAATCAGATGATTGCTGAGGACACAAGTGAGCCGTGCAGAGGAAGCAGCTTGATTTTAGTAAAAAGCAAAGGCGAGACCAGTAGAAGATGGATTTTTTTAAGCAAAAAGAAACTAGAAATCAATGACTTAGAAAGTTCTCAGCCCACCCATGTTGCAAAAGATGAGAAAGCATCTTCCAAAGAGAACACCAAGTGGGCAAGTGAACCATCATTCGACAGCATGACCCAGCCAGACACTGCTGAAGGGCAGAGACAGGACAGAAGAAGCCTGAAAGCCCTGGCGTTGACAGCGCAGGATGGGCTGACAGAGGTACACACCGGTGAACAGGTATAGTCCTCAAGAAGAGAAAATATCACCAGGAGGCCTTAGAGATCAGCAGGGCTACCACCTCAGCGCTACAACTCAGACATCACTGCCAGGAATCTTGGGACAAGAGTCCTCAATACAGCTCTGGAGTGACGCAGCCACCTCACTGGGCCTGGACGGCGGAGCAGGAAGCCATCCAGGGTTATTCTCAAGGCTTAAAATCTAATGGGTTTGCGCTTTCCTGGGAACCAGCTCTTCTTGCTTCTCTCCTACATCTTCCTTTTGCAATGAGAGTGTCTATCCTGTCCCACGAGTGTATTTGGAAGCACATAACTTCCTGTCAGGTTTCACAGGTTTGCTTTTGGAAAGGGACTTTGCCTGCAGGACAGTTGTACTTCGAGCTTCACCCAAGTCTGGCTTAGATGAGAAGCTAGACTTTCTAGTTGATGCCGAAGTTTGGAGTTGTTGGGTGTGTGGAACACATTTTGGATGTGAGAAGGATGTGACTTTGAGGTACTAAATACACAATGCCATGGATTGAATTGTGTCTTCCCAAAATTTGTACATTAAAGCCCTCACTCTCACTGGGACTGCACTTGATGGTAAGGCTTTAGGAGGTAATTAAGGTCCCGTGGGGTCCTAGGGGTAAGATCCTAAACTGATAGGATGGGTGGCATCCTTCTAAGAAGAGGAAGAGATTCTCTCTCTCTCTCTCTCTCTCTCTCTCTCTCTCTCTCTCTCTCTCTTTAAATTTTTTATGTGTGTGTGTGTGTGTGTGTGTGTGTGTGGCCAGCTCAGCCCACCAGGGGGCGGGGCTGGCTGGCATGTGGTGCTGGGGGATTGAACCGCGGTCCCTGTGCTTTGCTAAGCTTGTTCTAAGTAGGTGCTTTAGACCACTGAGCCATCTCACCAGCCCCGTCACTCTCTCTCTTTCTCTCTCCCTCACTCACTCTCTCCACTTCTCTCTCTCCCTCTCTCTTACTTACTTATAAACCAAGGAAAGGCCATCTGTAAAAAGTGGACAATACAAAGGTAGCTGGGGAGGACCGCCTGGGCAATTCTCCTTGTAGGAGGAGCAACTGCCTCTATTTTGGCTGAGCCTGACCCTGTCTCCCCGTATTGGTATGCACAGAGCTGGCTAGGACTTTTCCTTATCCCTTCAACTGGCTTTAAGCAATGCATACTGGTCTAGCTGAGGTGCTGGTGGTAGTCCTTGAGCATAGCAGGTCATTAGACCTGCTATAGACCCTGGACATTAGATGGAGCACAAGGATCCAACTATGCCTCAAAGCAATACTTCTAAACCTTTTGAAGGGCCAGCCAAATAGCTCAGCGGATTAAAGTGCTTGCAAGAGAGCACAGGGGCCAGGGGTTTGATGCCTGTGCCTGCCGTGCTGGCCCCGCCCCTGGGGCGTGCTGAGATGGCAATTGAAACTGGGCGTGGTGGCTTGCACCTGTAATCCCAGCACTTGGGAGGCTGTAAACAGGCAGATCACTACAAGTCCAATCTAGTAGTGAGATCCTGAACACCCTGTAGACCCTTCCCTAAAAAAAATACAGAAAAAAAATCTTTTGAAATTATTGGAGTAAATGCATTCTTTCTGTTCTTTCTTTACCCGTCTTCAAGGATAAAGATCTTCAGTTTGAGCTGAGGATCCCTTCCTTGCAATGCAGAACCCTGATTGATCCAACTGGACAAGGAAAATCCCAAGCAGCAAATGGACCCCCATTCCAGATTATATTAAAGGTGCCCAGAAAGAAGGCACAACACTGGCACACAGGCCCTTCGGTGTAGCCTGAGTCCCTCCTTTCCTGGCCTGTGACGCAGCTACCCCCAGTGACGAGCGGCTTCTAACGTGAGCCTTTGTGCACACGGATACTCCTGGGCAGACTCTATGAGGTCGGTGTTGATGTGTCTTCTCTGTTAGATTTGCACGCATCCAAGGGAAAAGGGGAAGAGTGCCTCTCAATTCTTATTTATGGCCCACCGTAGACAGCTTTGTTTTTTGACTGTTGCTTTGTTTTGTTTTCGGTGGCACTTCGAATTGCACCCAGAGCCTTTGCACCGAGCTATACCCTCAGCCCTTTCTATGCTTCATTTTGAGACACTTGCTCAGTCACTAGTTCTTGGATGGCTAGATGGATGGACGGCTGTGCAGACAGGTGGGAAGGAACCTACATGTACAGTGTATATTTCGATGAATCAAGTAGTCAAATAGGTCGGCCAGCACTACCCCCTGCTCCAAGCCCCCCGAGAACAGGAGCTCCTGAGTGACCTTGCACAAGGCCCGTATGAGGAGACCTGCACCGCCTGGCACTTTTCCCAACTAGAACTCCTCGCCTGCCAGTGTTTATCCAAAGCTGCCCCACCTGAGATTGATACAACGTGGTAGTTATTCTTTGCTTCAATTTGCTTTTGATTTTGTGCCTCTTCCTCCTCAATGAAGATGAAGCTGGCTTCCCCCAACCAAGCACCACTTCCCTCTCGACCCTGCTGTGAGGTCTGCTCGGATTCTCACTTCTCCATGGGGCCTGGTCAGGTCAGCATTTGTACCCACTGGCCAC